TTTTTTTTGTGATTTTTGGACTTGATTTTCTCCTCCTTCGTGGCATGAAATCCACCTCTATTTATAAGCGATGAAAGTGCGCAATCTTTGTCTACACTAAGAGAAAATTGCAGTCCTTGATTCAGTTAAGAAGGATTTCAACTGTTGGTTCAAAGTAAGCATTCTCAATTGTCAAATGTGTAGGAAAAGACTAAATGAGTTGATCTTTTTAGGCCGGCGCCGACGCTGATGAGTTATCACTCAACCTGAACGGGCCATACAGGGTTGTAGAGAAATTTAAGAGGATCATCTATGTGTAAGCGCTGTCAACTTTGATGGACGTTAGATGCATTAAATGCACCTGCAAAGTAGCCTTCCTGAGTTGTCATTTTAGAAAAAATTAAAGAAAAAGATGAACAATATCAGAGTTTTGTTTTTTACTAAGGTTTATTTCAGTCCTCTATCTTTAAATTTGTTTTAATTGCACCCCTAATATACTTTTAATTTAGTGCATTTTAGCCTCTGTCGAACTTGAATTAGAACCCTAGATTTATGCTCTCTTTGCACTGAGGTCCTTGGTCTTGATTTTATGCAATTTAACCACTAATTGACCATTAAACTTTTGATTTTTATAATTCCACCCCTGATTTTTGTCAATTAAACCCCTATAGTTTGATGCCTTTTGCAGATTGGTTATTGGCTATGAATTTTGTCAATTTAACCTCTAATTAACACCAAAAACTTTAATTTTCTTGCAAATTGACCCTGATTTCAATCAATTAATTTAGTAAAAAATAAATTTGGTCTCTTAAAATTTCAATCTTCTCAATTAAGCCCAAATTAGGCTCCCAAACTTAATTTTCACCAATTAAACCCCAAATAAAATTAATTTGACCCATTTAAAGTATAATTAAGTCCTTACACTTAATTAAATCATTTAATTGAACCCAAATTAATTTTTAAACATAATTAAAATTTAATTTGACCTATAACTAAATCAAATTGGCCTATTAAAAATTTAATCATGTTATTAGACTTAATTTTTATGAAAATTCGTTCAATAATCATTCAATTTGACCTTGAATTTTAATTTTTCTCCATTTTTTTGGCATAATAAAGGTATAATTAGGCCTTGAATCTCCAGGCCTTGAATCTCCTTCAAAATTGCAGTTATATTCCATAGCCTGTTTTCTCCACGTTCTTAGTCTTTATTTTATTTTTTTAATTTTTATTTTAAAAAAAAAGTGAATTTTGAAAAATAACCCAGAATTGAGTTATGACAATAATGATATAGTGTTATTGAATAATGTTAAAATCTAGTTTTTCAAATAAAACATAATATTTAAGAAATGTTTTGGAATTTTTTTAATTTATTGGATCAGATCTAGATACTATATATTTAGATTTGAATCGAAGTTAATCTGATTATGATCAATAAATAATGTTAAAATCTAGTTTTTCAAATAAAACATAATATTTGAGAAATGTTTTGGGATTTTTTTAATTTATTGGATCGGATCTAGATACTATATATTTAGATTTGAGCCGAAGTTAATAATCAATAAAGATACTTTTTACTGTTCACATTTAATGTAAACAGTGAAGAAGTTGCTATTTGCAAAACATATAAATTGTGTTTTTATTAAACCTGAAACATGATCATAATTTATGATGGGTCCATCACTATAAAACTTTGTTTTTAACTTAACTAAACATCAATATTAGTGGCTATAAATGAATTTTACCTGTAATTACACTGTTAAACGGCCACTAAATAGTCTAATTACTAACATTCTTTCTTTTCTGTAAAGAAAGTTGGATAATAAAAGCAAGAAATCTCTTAAAAATCAAAAGTATCAACTTGATTCCTAAGTTTTCAAAAAAATTCTATCGCATCAAAAAAAAGAAAAAAAAGAAAGAAGAGGAGAGCATTTTGACACTGTTGAGGAGTGTGGGTTAAATAAACCTTTGCAAAATTTAAATGACACTGTTGAGGAGTGTGGGTTAAATAAAACTTTGCAAAATTTAAATATTAATTTTTTAAAATTTTAAATTATTTTAATATGTTAATGTATAAAATTAATTTTAATATATTTTTAAATAAAAAATATTTTAAAAATCAATTACTACCCATGACAGCACTTTTCGTTAACTAATGTCGGGAGAAGGCTTGCAGAATGTGCCTCCAGACCTGGACGCCAGAGACAAGTTGCTCATCTTGCTGTCAAGTGTCAACTGCTACAGAAGCTAACACATGGACATTTCATCCTTCCATTTTTATTTTAATAAGTGGGCCCCGCATGACAGATAAGCAAAACGATGTTTCGTTTGTTTAAAACCACCAATCACAAATAAGCTCTTACTTTACTGCTAGTCCTAAGCAGATAAGCAAAACAGGGCTTTCTTCTTCTTCTTCTCTGCTCTGAGGTCTTAACTTAAGAACCAATGTCATGGTTGTGAGATCCTTTCCAGTTTAGAAAAAGAGCTATCAATATTATTGTTTAAACTTAAATCAATTATTTTTATTAAAATAAAATTATATATTTTTAAATTTTTTCTAGAGTTAATCACACCAAGTTTAGATTGGATTTAATTGAGTTATTAATAAAGCAAATATTTTTTTATTCAACTTAAAATATAATCCGGATTGAGTTCTTAAGTAGCAAAACTGGATTGAGTTTAATAATTATATTGTATATATCATTATTTAAAATTTAAATATCTGTAGAAGAAGTCCCGTGGAATAAAATTTTACTTAATCCATTATTCTGCCTATAGATAATTCAGCAAAAATAATGTCTTAAATGGCTCGCAGAAATAGAACACAACGTATAAAAAATCATTGGAGGACAACTACTTGATAAAGAAAAACAAATATATATATATATATAAACAAAAAAAAAGAGAAGGAAAAACAAATAAGTTTCGTGACAGATTTCATTAAACAAGAAAATAAAAGAAATAATTTAATCAATGAAGCCAAACAATAAATAATTGGAGCTGATTGGAAATATTAATCATGAAATGACT